CACAGGCGTCCAGTTCTACAGTCGCTGCTGTCTCTTAAGTGCACACTCAGATACTGGTATACACTCACAAACATTATAAATATCAGGGAGCCTGGATTAATAACATTTACAGTGCTCTCTTGTCGTTTGACTCATGCGTTATGTTTATGCCAGCTTCTGTGCTGACATAAACATAAGTAAAGTTCCAGTGTTTTGTTCTGCTGTGTTGAAACAATTTCCATTAGTTTGGCTGCAGAGCCAATAAAACTTTATATATTCTACATCCTCAAACAAGCTATGCTATCAGTCTGAAAGTCTTCCCACCAGAGTTAAAATCAGAGCAATGAGGATGAAGGACATCAAACCACATTCCACTACGATGCACTCTGCCCCTGCTCACTGCTACAATAGATTCATGACATTGATGCTTCAACTCTGGGTCTACTTTATGTGGCATAAGAATGATGAGGGTAGTCACTTTTTCAGAAGCGTCTGTACAAAATGTTGAATAGCAAATTAAGTTGGTGGGCAACTTTTTAAACCTCTCCAAATAAAGACAAGATACCACCAGCAGGAAGTGTGATGTGAGACTGATACAGGCGGTGATGTGCTGCAGACTCTGACCCTTAACTTGGAAAAACCCATCAACACAGCTCCACAATAAATCTGATTCAGCCACTATATCACTTCACTAATCCAATACACGCCTGTGACATGTGCCCCATTCTAAATAAGGAGTTCCCATGTATGTCAAGGCCTCACACCTCAATAAAATGCTGCAGACAAACAGAGTTTCATGTCATGGATTGGTGTGAGTCTGTTAACCTAGATCATGAACACGGCATTTGAAACACATTGCATTTACATTACAAAATAAATAAAATACACAAAATAAAGTGTCAAATGTGTTGACATTAAGTGAACTGGTCATGGTTTAAGCATTTTTTAAGTAAACATGATGCACTTTCACTGGCTTTGCCTCTTGTATGTGTTACAAACATTGCTGAGAAGTTTATCCTACACATTTTCTTCAGTGTTTTTGCTGCATGATGTCTGTGTTCGCTGAATGTACGAGTTACTGGGGTGCAGGGTTCCTGTAGGTGCAGTGACTTTGTTCACTGTGTTAACGACAGATCATTTTTAAAAGGAAGCGGCATCGTTTCTCTTTAACGAGACTCCTGTAAAATTGTGCCCTGAGCAGTGTGAGACCTGTCTCTACACAAAACAACACACAGTGAACTTGGACAACAGAGCCTCAACACACAAGACGTGTACACATACATATATTCAGTATATTTCCCACATAAGTCCAAGCCTCTCACCTTTTCAGCACAATGAAACTGATGCAGTATTTCAAATGAGATGTGAGTTCCCACCATACAAACCAACAGAAATGTACACACGCCACCAGAGTGTCTTACCTGTCCAGGGCAATGCAGCAGAGGTGTAGTATGGACGCTGTGGTCAGCAGGACGTCCAGGGACGTTCGGACCAGGCAGAAGGTCTCGCCATAGATCCAGTGCTGGTGGACCATCTCGATGGCACCAAATGGCATCACCAGCACTGACACGAGCAAGTCGGCAAACGCCAGAGACACAATGAAGTAGTTGGTCTTGATTTTCCTGATAGAACAATAGAACAAGACAAGAAAGATTTAACCACTACAGGGATGGAGTCACAAAAATGCACAAGAAGAAGAGAAGAACTAGAAGACCTGTAACTAATCCTGTGTAATAATGCCACTTCTTGTAGCCAGAAAATCAACCATGAAACAATAACAAGAATGATCAAGAATGATGATGCAAAGTAAAATCATTAAATACCTTGAGATGTAATGTAAAGTGCTGCTTTCTGACGTGTGACATTTTAATTTCAACTGACTAAATTACTCTGGCACTGCAGTTTTTAATGATGTTGACAGCCATATTGTTTTTTGTAAACACGTTTTGTTTGTGCAGATGTAGATCAGAGACGCATGAAAAGCAATTATTAAAAAAAAAAAATCAAGAAAACAGCTCCTGAGAGGTCCTTGTAAGTGGGAAAACAAAACACACAGAACAGCAGTTGTATTTTCAAGTTTTTGTCTAGTAAAATGAGTAATGCATAGCAATTTCATCACATTTCTTTTACATAGTGCAAACTTGTAATTGTAACTAATGGAGTCAGTATTAGTTCAAGTCAGTAACAACTCCTTCACATGTGCAGAGACCTGCCCTCAAACCCATCGTACCGCTTTGGGATGAACAGGAACACAGACCCACTAATGCTAACCGTTGAAAAGTCTTGTGGAACGCCTTTCCTGAGAGAGCAGATCCAGTTGCTGTGGTCTTAAAAGCATATATGCCATGTTCTTTGAAACACTGAACTGAATCACTGGGGAGCACTGACGTGAAGATGTTAAAGTTCAGATAGCAATCAAAGGCAAGCAGAGGCAGACACAACAAAGGTCAGATTCTAAGTTTCACTTTTGATACCAGCATAGAAGAAAGGGGAAAAGAATCTAAATCAAATACTGGTTCCATTACTCACAAAACAATACATGAATGAAAACAGCGAAACAGAGAAACATCCATCTTTGCTTTCACTACAGTTGGAGGGCAAAGACGCTGACTTGTGTAAGTAAAAGCTGAGAAACACTAAACTCTTCTCAAACATGCAAACTTGAAAGAAAGTAAACCACAAAGATACAGAAAGAGATTAAGACAGACTCATTCTGCAAGTAGGTAAAACATATGAAAAGACTGAATCCACCTGATTGCAGTGACTACCAGGCTGCAGCATCGAATCTCTTTCTCTGTAATAAAAGCTGGTTTTCTTTATCTAGGTAACACAGCAGTCACGGGTAAAGGCCATGTTACTCCTATAATGTATTACAAAGATAAAAAAGACTATCTGTACAATAAAATGAACTGCAAGACACTTTACTTTCATCCTCAACACAAAAATGTGTGTTGAGAGTGATTCATACAACGCTGATGATGTTCTTTTGCCCAATTAATAGTTATCAGGTTAACTTTGGAAAACTTTCACATTTGAAAATAGAAAGCATGTAAAACTTTTCTCTAAAGATGTCACACAGCATGCTGACATTTTAAGCTATACCTCATATTGTGTTTCCAACATGAGGCCCCAAACAACGCAAAGGAAGGTTACTACATCTGGTATATAGCTGGGAAAGACAGACCATCTGTCACCTACACATATCTCTCACTGCTGTGCAGCTTTGTGCAGAGAAATCAACCTGCTGTGAAGTCAGGGGCTTAACAAGGGGGTTATATTTGTAACCTGTCAACCTGAGACAACTGAGGCGTCAGTAAGTGAAGCAGTCAACTCATCAGTCAGTCAAGCTGTCAAGCTAAAAAGACATACTGACAGGTTTCCACTGACTGGAAAATACTGAGACTTAGCAGTCTCTCCTTGTCCCTCTCAGATTGCAATGGGCTGATAAACCACTGCCTCCACATAAGAACCACACCAGCCAACCTGCTAACCAGCGTCCCAGCCGGTCAGTCAGTCAGTCAGCCTGTTCTCCAGCCTCTCTGCAGTGTGGACCAGTCTACAGTCTATAAATAGCCTCAGGGAGAGCGGTTTCAATCTGCCTGTCACTAACACAAACAGCCCATAGACACAGGCTGCTGGTGCTGGACGCAGCCAGCTGTCTGCTCGGCCCACTGTGTGTGGGGCAAACCTAAATCATGCTGCACGTGCACCCACACAGGAACCCTGATGGAGGCATCGGACACACACAAGCACATACGAATATCATATATGCACACTCACATACTGTAGATGAATGGCCACAGGTACAAACAGTACTGTGCAACAGTCTCACGGTACCTTTAGTTTTGCTGTTGTCAGGGTTGTAGAGATTATTTATTTTTATTTATCAGTAAGAAAATATACAAGAAATATGTACACAAAAAAATATTTTCAGGGCAAAGTGGCTTCTACAGTATTTAACGTCAGTGTTTAGTGTGAGCGCCCTCTGCACTTAGCACAGCTTGAATTCTTTTGGGGAGACTGTCTTGAAGTGTTGAAACCATGACAGACCCTCCACCATGTTTCACTGAAGGCTGCTACACTCGTCCACCTCTCTCCTCTTCTCACATACTGTCGACGACTGGACCTGAACATTTCAAACTTCAACTCATGACTCCATAATCTTGTTTTTCACTGATCTTCACTCCAATCTGTGCGAGCGTTTCCATATCTCAGCCTGTTCTCCCTTCTGAGAAAGTGGCTTCTTGGCTGCCGTCCTTGCACAAAGGCCGTTCCTGATTGAGCTTCTTCAGACTGTGGAAGGATCAACTTGGCATCCAGATGCTGAGCCAGGTCCTCGCTGGGTTTTCTCTGGTCTCTGAGAAACTTTTCATCAGATTCTGACAGTTTTCTTGCTCTTCCACCCCAGTTTTTGTCCCCGACCGCTCCAGATTCTTCATATTTCTTTAGAACACACACTTCACAACAATTTAGCATAAGCATAAATGTTATTGCCAAATATTTAAAAAAAATACAAGGAATTTGTCTCCAGCCCAATGGCCCCCGATGTGCACAACATAAAAAAAAAACAAAAAACAATAATAAATACAAAAAATATACAAGTTAAAAGAGCGACATGGACTAGCTGTTCATGAGTTTAATATCCTGGGGGCCGAAACTGTTCCTGTGCCTGGTTGTCTTGGTGCACAGTGACCTGAAACGCCATCCGGAGGAGAGGAGCTCAAAGAGTTTGTATCCAGCGTGTGAGGGGTCTGCAGTGATCCTCTCCACCCTCCTTCTGACCCGTGAGGTGTACAGGTCCTCCATGGAGGGCAGGTTCACACCAATGACCTTTTCTACAGTCCTGACTGTCTGCTGAAGTCTGTACTTGTCCTGTTTGGTTGCTGAGCCAAACCAGACAGTGATGGAGGTGCAGAGAACAGACTTGATGATTCCTCTGTAGAACTGTATCAGCAGCTCCTGGGGCAGGTCGAACTTCCTGAGCTGGAGCAGGAAGTACATCCTCTGCTGTACCTTCTTGGTGATGGTCCTGATGTTGGTTGTCCACTTCAAGTCCCAAGAGAACTTGTAGGACTCCACGACTGAAACAGAGCTGCTGAGTATAGTGAGCGGACATAGGGTGGGGCAACTCCTCCTAAAATCCACTGTCACCTCCACTGTCTTCTGTGTGTTCAACTCCAGATTGTTACGACCACACCACAGGGCCAGCTGTTCAACCTCCCCTCTGTAGGCCGACTCGTCATCATCTTGAGCGAGGCCAGCGGGGGTGGCATCGTGTTTGGGTTAAAGTCTTGGAATAAATAAACTTGATTAAAAGGGAATGTGTTGCTGTGAGGTTGGTGTAATGTGTCTACTGTATAATGTGGAGGGGAGTGAGGAGTTCTGAGGAAGCTGAACCTAAAACATGGCTAAAGAGGAGAAGAGAGATCAAGACACTGAAGACTGAGTGAATGTTACTTAAATTATATTTACAGACACACGTGGTATTTTTGTTTTTGTAAATTCCCTCCTCTGCAACAACACAGTGACAGAGTACAAAACGTCCTTTAAACCCACTATGAGCTGAATTTTTATCTCTATAACATCTGTTGAATTACTCTCATCATTTTCTTTGGTTTCAAAATTATATAATCTGCATGTTAGGAATCAATCAAAATGGAAATCTAAAGGGTAGCTGCCTAAATGATCCATTATGGTGCCTCGTTTGATATTATCACTAACAGACTTTAAAATGCTCCTTTAAAAATTTACAAAGCACCAATAAATAGGGAAATCAAGCTTATACATTTTTTCAATTTGAGCAAATTGCAAAAGCTAAGTATGATTAATAAGACTGTTTACACTACCCCAAACCTCTCACTACCTTTCTCATTATTATAAGGAATAAAAGTCGCTGGAAACGCCATTGATTTGCATCAGCATGACTGCTTATCGAGCTGTTCGGTGTCCACTGTAAACAGCAAGCAGACACTGTGGCAACGTGTGTGTGGGTCAGACACTCGACACTCCACGTTGAGAGAAACAAGAGGTGGTAATGGTTGTGTTTGTGTGCTGCTTATTGATGAGTGGCTCAGCACCCTGTGAATTACCTTGTGTTGGTGTCAGCTCCCGACGGATCACTCTGCGTGTGCGTTTATGTATGGGCGTGTGTATGTTAGGTACGTGTGTGAAATGCTTCCTGTCTAGAGACAGACTTAACTTACTGTCCATTTTTACCATCTATACAAGTGCTAGACTTAATTCTGTTACCCTGTAATATTTGCACCGTCATTCCATTAAATGCTCACATTTTAGCATAGCACCAAAGTATTTAATTGGCTAACTGGCTATACACCATGTCACAGGTGAAGGTCTAGTAAGAAAAAATTATCACAAGCAGTAAAAGACAACAATATCATAGACCTTAGAACTGTGCATGAGCTTCTAATTTCTAACTGAGGCTGTGTGTGACCTTCTATGCAGTTTTCACCCTCACCACACCGGACGGTGACATCATTTGGCAAAGGCGCTGTGTCACCAGTCACCACCACTTAGTCAGGTTTCTTAGTTTATTTTTTCATTCATTACACATAATAATCTACAATAAATATAAACAAATCAACAATCCTGTGTCAGGTCCAGGCCAGGCAGAAGTGATGCTGGTGCCATGCTCCAGAAACCAGTAACTTTAATTTTGCTCTGAACATTATTTGCATTATTTTATAATATATCAAATCATTCCATTTCATAATACTGGAATTATCACAATCACAGTAACCTCCCGCCTCTGGCAGAGCTTTGACCAGATACCGGGGGAGGCTGGAGATATTGAGTCCAAGTGGACCATATTCTTCACCTCTATTGTCAATGCGGCCGTTCGGAGCTGTGGCCGTAAGGTCTCCGGTGCCTGTCGTGGTGGCAATGCCCGAACCCGGTGGTGGACACCGGAAGTAAGGGATGCCGTCAAGCTGAAGAAGGAGTCCTTTCGAGCCTGGTTTAGTCAAGAAGCTTCTCGGTGGCAAGGCACCAGGGGTGGATGAGATCCGCCCTGAGTACCTTAAGTCTCTAGATGTTGTTGGGCTGTCTTGGTTGACACGCCTCTGCAACGTCGCATGGCGGCCGGGGACAGTGCCTCTGAACTGGCAGACTGGGGTTGGTGGTCCCTCTTTTCAAAACGGGGGACCGGAGGGTGTGTTCCAACTATCGGGGGATCACAATCATCAGCCTACTCGGGAAAGTATATGCCAGGGTAC